GAGGGGTTCTCGCGGCGACGTCGCGCAGTCTACTTAGGCTGCGCAACGTCGCCGCGTACGCGCACGCTGCTCATGAGGAAGAACCCCTCTCAACAACATCTTACTAATATTATAAATGCGAAAGTTACGATGTTTGGATGTTTGTTACTCAATCACGCCAAAACGACTGGATGGTTCTGGATGAAATTTGGTACAGGCATTGTATACACTCCAGAATAGGACATAGGCAACTTTTTATCAACATACCATGCTGGCGAAGCCACGTGCGGAAGCTTATTATTAATGTTTTTTTCTCAACGACAGCACAAAATCTGTTATTAATTACACCTAGAAATGCTTGCTAACTAACCAGTTAGGGCTGGATAGGATTACCTACTACTTGAGATGTTTGTAAAGACTTTGAAAAGTTTTTAGGAACAAAGGAGATAAATTGCCTATGGTAACCTCATTGAAATGGTAAAAACAACGCAAGCGTTATGTCACGCCAGTTGGTGTCGTAGCATCACTTATGTCGAGTCGAAACAAACTAAAACTACTAGACTAGGCTAAAAGGAACTTCACAATTGAAAATCACCTTAAAATATCTCACAACAATCTGCTTCTTACACATTCTTGTATCGAAAAATCATTAAAAAAACATAAAAATATAAGCTAAGCCAAAATAAAACTTATTCGGAACAGATGTTTTTAAGCTAATTTTTCATCGAGTACCCATCGAAATGATGGAATGAAGAATTCTCAATACAAGTGGGGTCGAACGCTTAACCCAAGTCGAGGGGATTTCCATAATAATTCGAGAGCACGATACTGTATAAAAAATATTTTTCTTTTATACGTTTCTCTCTCCTCGAAAAAATGTTTGTAAGTTATTTGTTAAATTCGTAAATTGTTTTGCTTGCAATTTGTTTGATAGATTAATAAATAATGTTTTTTAGTAAAGAATAGGTTGCTTGTGATTTATTGTGTTAGTAAAGTTGAAAGAAAGATCAGGTTATTATAATACAGCATGTCTACTTTAACCTCTCGTTTGAAGGTTTATGAGACACGATAGAAACGCGTAGATCTGCTTCCGGCATATCACGGGTTAATATTTTGAATACCGTGCTTATATGAACATTTTCGAAAATACAATTTTACTTTTCCGACCGGGAAAGCCTGAGATAGAATAATATGTGTGTCGTGGGTGTATTAACAAACCTACACTTTTTAACGATTTGTAGATCAAACAAAAATTTGTTACATGGCAGCCCGATGCCCAACCACCGCGTCAACTATGCAGTCAAAAATGGAAAATTTGTTTAAAACCTTATCCCCCTTATTGCAAAACAAGATTCATTTAGTCTAGGTTTAAACCATTGAGACAGGATTTGTATTTTGAATCTTGATATTTTGAACTCTAGATTCGATTTGAAATACAAAATTTGGCTCAATGGTTTAGACCTAGACTAGAGAAACGCCTTGTTTCATAATAAAGTGCTTGATTAATACATTTTAGATTCATACTAAAATGTATTAATCAAGCACATCCTTAAAAAGAGTAACCATGGAGTTTCTAGCTCGTTCTTATCCATAGGTATCTACACTTTAGAACGAGCAAATAGCTTCACTAGAGGACAGACGGACAGACTGACACTCTTAAAGTTAAACCTCTTGAAATAACCTCGTTCTTTTTTTTCTTAACGTTCAAAAGTGCCTACTGTGGTCTATTTGTAACAAATTATTTTGACTCTGACTTTAACTTTGACTGAATGAGATTAAAAAAGACGATTAACAAGTGTCATGTCGGCCAGTTTGAAAATGATTAACTAATAAATTAACAATTTTGATGTCTAGCATTTTTCAATTAAGCTGATCTTTGTATAAAGTTTTTAGTACATATTAAATTAAAAAAAATTACAACCTTAGTCTAGACGGTACAAAAAATACGTAAGTAAAGCATCGCTAGATTGTTAGCTATGTAAAGGGTTCTGTATCACTTAGTAATGTTTTTTTTTTATGTAACAACGGTTTACCTGCTGGTAAGCTATCGTCGCCGCCAATGGACACCCGCAGCGGAAGAGTTACGAGTGCGTTGCCGACCTTTGGGGAGGGATCGAGAGAGGGGAAAGACTGGGCCTCCGGTAACCTCACTCACACGGCGAAACACAACGCTGTGGTTATTTCAACGCCGGTTTTCTGTGAGGCCGTGGTATCACTCCGGTCGAGCCGACCCATTCGTGCCTAAGCTTGGCTCTCCCACATTTGTTTACGCTTTAATAATAAAAACTATTAATAATAATTATTATAAACTCCTCTTTAGATTTGTCATGGTAAAAGCCGACTTAAGGGAATACACATTCGATAGGTTTTGATTATTTTACCCTCTTAGTCTGTAACCAAAATCGCATGCCAAAGATAGTGATTGTAGAAATGTCTCAATGGAGACAGCCCAGTGACTTTGCCGAGTTGTGGTTCAAGTGCAATATTTTTTTTTGTTTTTTTTTTTACTTACAATAAACTAGTGCTTGACTGCGATCCCACCTGATGTTAAGCAGTGATGCAATCGTTGATGGTAAGGCGCACTAGCTATTAAGAGCCTATTCACTCTAGCCTTGAAGACACCAAAATTGTATTCAGGCGGAAAGACTGCAGATGGCAAACTGTGCAAGGCTGGCTACTCTGTGCTTGTGCTCGAGACTTTGAAGATTGGACCCAACCAAATCTGGATCACCAATCAGCCTCTTTGCACGCCTTTCCACTGAATCCAAAACCGCTAGGTGGCATTTTGCAGCACCAGCCCATATGTGGCTGCAGTACTCCACACACGATAGGACCTGAGCTTTGTGCCTGCATTTATACACCGAATTTGCTGCGGCTTCGGCCTAAAGCAGGAGAAGAAACGGGGTGGTTCTCCGTCAGTAAGAGATTGACACTCTCTCGCTCCATTCTGGACGAGAAACAGAATTGAAAGATTTCCCCCTTAAAAGAAACTGATGATAACTTCGCACATTAATTCTTTCGAAACCCAAAAAACGTAGTATTTATGTGGTACTAAATCTCACTTAAAAGCAGTATCAATAAATTGCATTAATTTACACAAACATTTCACGTAAAATTGTAGTGTTAATTCTTTGAGATTAAATTCTCTATTCAGTGCTGAGCTTAAACTTTTTAGTAGCCATTTGTATAGTAATGTTAAAAATAAAAAGTTTATTATAGAAATCTGCTTTGAATGGCTATAGTTTAATGGTCAATCTGCTCAAGATATAGCAATTTTGAATTCTTTACAAAAAATAAGCAATAAATGCGTTTGTTGAACCGATATCTATACTAATATTATAAAGAGGTAAAATTTAGGTTTGTATCTTTGCAACCGCTGCTCAGATTTTCAAAATATTTTCAGTGAAAAATAGCTACAAAGTAAGTGCTGTAGGCTACAAATTATGCTGATTTGCTGACCGAGATATCGCTTTAAACGCTCATGTTTTTAAAATTCCGGGGTACATTAATTTTATATGCGTGCAAAGCAACAGAAACAAAAATAATCAATTTTAAGATTTTTCAAGAATCCTTAAAAAACAAGCTGCTGTTTTAAAGGTTTAGTTTTTTAACATACGTAAATATTTAACAATGACTATGCTATTTACGCGGTGGCTGGTGGTGGCCGCGCAACGTGTCGATTACCGCACGAAGCAAATCTTCATATTATCTATGATGTGCAATAAGTGCGAGAAAATAGAAAACAATTAGAATAAAGTTTTTAAACAAAAAAAAAAACAAGATATTAAAGTGATTATTTTGTAAAAGCTCTAGATAAGTGAGAAATCTTTTTCAAGTCGTCTTCTATAGCTAACGCAGGTATACTATACATAGGCTTGGTGACAATCGTAATCCACACTGCATCTACTCAACTGACAATAAAATAAAATACTCTATTATAAAATGTAATAACAACATTGACTGAAACTCCGTCCATAAACCTGCTCATTAGGCGCAAGTTATAATTAATATGATAATTAATTCTCAGCACTTTAAATAAAATCCGGTGAGAGTCCAGAGAACCGTGTTTTTATTCAGACCAACTGTTTTATTTTACTTTTTTTAAAATTGTGAATACTTTTTTCACTCTTTCTATCTATATTTTTTATAGATATAATAATGAATAGATATTTTATTACTACATGAAATGTGTGTACTAATTGACCCCTGATAGCCCACTTTTGGACTACGAACTACTTTTCTTTCCCAATCCCAAATTCACGAAGCGTTTCACTCCTTATAAGAACCGCTAAGGAGTTGAATTCTTTGCCAACACGTTTCGACATCTTTGACTCCCGAGTATATATACCTATATGTATAATTATGGACAGGGCGCCTAGAGCGAATTTTGTTGTAAGACATGCCACCCAGGTCAGAAGAATGCATTTTCCCCTCCTCAATATACGGAAAGAGAATTCTTAATAAATGATATTAAGTGAGTTTTATCTGCGCCAACCACACCGCTTTTGTATGTATATTTTGTTATTTACTTGTAAATAAAAAGAATAAATATTTCACAATGATATTCACGTAATGCCAAGTGGCGAGTAAACTGATGCAAGAATGTGATAATCTTCATTTGACAAGTGACCTTGTTACTACATTGTAGAGTTCATATTAGAAGAGGTCATTGTATACTTGAACAGTTTTGTTCGTAATATTATTTACAAAGTTAGAAATGGTAGAAGTAAGGTAAGTGTGGGAGAGCCAAGTTTCGGCACGAATGGGTCGCCTCGACCGGAGTGATACCACGGCGTCACAGAAAACCGGGCGTGAAACAACCACAGCGTTGTGTTTCGCCGTGTGAGTGAGGTTGCCGGAGGCCCAATCCCACCCTTCCCCCTCATTCCTTCCCAATCCTTCAATACCCGAAAGAAACCCTTGCCCCTAAAAGGCCGGTAACGCTGATTTCTTACCTTCAATATGCTCGTGTAACTGACCTATACCTATAAAAGTATAAATGTAAATAAAAGAGGACTTACTTATAAGGAACACTGTGTAAATAGCCCAAAGGAACTGCGCTCGACTCCTGTGATTCATCTTAGCGGATCTGTAACAAATACACACATACATTCATTATGCGTGTCACTTCTAAACTCTAGAGAAAACGGAGAAAAGTAAGAAAACTTTCTACAGGACCACAGCTTTTCAAACTAGGTATTTCAGACTTAAAATTTTCTTTTTTTCTATTTTTAATCTTAAATGTATGAGACAAGACTGAAAATCCGTTGTAGGTATTCCATAGTTAATGGTAGTTTGTTCAGCTGGTGGCTACACCTAAAGTGTTTGGTGTTTCGATTCTTATTTGTAGATTTATTTGTGATATGTAAGCGTAGAAACAAGAGTCTTTAACATAATTTTAGGTCTTTTTTCGCAGTAGATGACACACCGGCCACAAACAACGCGGGTCTGCGGACGACGAGCATGGATAGCTCGCCGCTTGATCAGAAACAGACCCAGACCCGACCGAATTCCTTGCGCCAGAAAGAGCCAGTGAAGTGAAGACGGCGCCTGGATCAGGAGAAGGAACGGATAGTTTTTGGAGATTTCGTGCTATTAATAATACTTATTAATAATTCTTAAGGATTGAATCTGAAACCACATTAATGAGTGTATGTAGCTTATCCGCTTGTCCTTTATTTACGTGCCTACCTAAGTATGTAACAGCGAATGTTACACTTTTATGCAAAAACTGCTTTACTTTTTAGGATGAAATTTTAGTCTCAATTTAGAAGTAACATTTATTTATTTCGCAACGAATGTCATGTCTCTATTCATTTAAGTAACAGGATATTTCTATAAGGATATAAGTAATTAATAGAACATTAATATTAAAGTATAATAAAACGTACATAATAAACTCGAAACCTACAACTAGTTAACACCTGCGTCACGAAATGACATATTTTTTCATATAAAGTTAAAGCAAGTCACGTGTTTCGAAAAACTACGAAACTATGGTTCAAGAGCCCCATAAAAAACTTATCCTGTTCGCCTAAATATCAAGGTTTCGCGTTCTCAAATGTACCAGGAAATTGTTTCTAAAAAAAACAGAGTAATTCTCGGTTCTTTTATATTTGATGGAGTATTTCAAGAAACGTTTTGTTTAGTGGCTAAAATTTAACAATACAGAATTAAAAAATAAACATGACTGTAATCAACATAAGAGGCGATGTTTTTTTTTGTATAATGTATATTATGTATACAGTATACATACATAATATGTCAGTCTAAAGTCAAATGGGTCGTCGAAAATCTCGTTAACAGGGATCCAGGGTTTGCTGAGCCGTCCCATACGTTTCCGAATTAGTAGGGAAAGATTAACGATAGAAAGAAAAAATGGTTTGATGACATTTCCTTCCTTTGGTCGGGAGGGTGGATCGATAGTTTTTTCAAAATTGTTAAGTGTAACTTTAGTTTTAGTTCACGAGCGTGATAGATATTGATAGTGTAAATACTCGGGTATTTTTTTTATGTAATAGACCGGCAAACGAACCTTATTACCTGATGGTATGCAAATCAGCGCCGCCCATGCACACCCGCAACGGAGGAGTTACGAGTGCGTTGCCAACTATTAGGGATTAGTGTTTTGGAGATTAAGGGATTGGGGAGGGATCGTGGGAGGGGAAGAATTGGGCCTCCGGTAACCTCACTCACACGGCGAAACACAACGCTGTGGTTTTTTCACGCCGGTCTTCTGTGAGGCCGTGGTATCACTACGGTCGAGCCGACCCATTCGTGCCGAAACATGGCTCTCCTACACTTACCTGACTTCTACCGTTTCTAATATGTAAACATAAATCTATACATGTATCTCGAATAAAAGGAATCTTAATATTCCTCATATGATAATCTGACGCGCTCGAATAATTTCCAAAATCCCTTCACGGGGGAGCCCCATTACTAAATGGACGAGGTTCTGAGTTAATAAAACTTAAATAAGAATTCAAGATTTTTAGTCTGATTGAAGCAAGGGTTATGCTCTTGAACAAATTAATCGTGTTATGTTAATCCATAACCAAACTAATCACATTAATTTTAACTAAACAGTCACGTGTCTAACTGACCCGCTCACATTGGCACCATTAACTCACAAAACATTATTAAATCACTTCTTTATGCAAAACGGTAATATCCCATTACAAGTTGTTCGAAGCGATTTATGGAAACTTGTTTCTGAGCTAAATGCCAATAACCTGGCTAAGTTATGACCTAATTTGACCTTTGAGATTTAAGAACTAAGAGTCAAAATTGTAAAATGTAATTACCTGAATAGGTACCTAGTTTTTTCCTGCCATGTATTTCGTGTGACGTCATTTGCTTTTTTAAATAAGTATGAATAAATAAAATGTAGTTAATAAAAAGTGCATGGGAATAATTTTTGTGCAAGTACCTTTGTTATTATTCTATTAAAGTATTAGAAAAACTAAAGTTTACTAGTAAGGGTTTATGGATGTTTCTTACTCTTTCACGTAAAAACTACTGAACGAAATGGAATTGGGCACAGATATATTCATGCTGCTATTTATCCTCGTAATACGACGAATCCGCTGGTTGAAGCAATCTATTTCCTAAAGCAATTTTTTTGTCAAAATTAAATGAATAACAACTTAGTAATTTTCGAAAATTCCTCAAAAATATTACATTAAAAGGTAGTGCAGTACACCAATGAATATTTAAATCAATTTTCATCATATTTGGTGATAAATCCTACACTACTATTATAGACGCGAGAGTTTGTAGAGTTGGTTTTTTGTTTCTTTTTTTACATAAAAACTGCAGAACGGAACTAAATAAAATTTAGCACAGAGATAGGTTATAGTCTAAAAAAAACATGTGCATTTTTGTCCTGGCCTGGTAGGTACTAAAGGCGAAGTCACTTACAGAAACTAGCTAACCTATAAAGTTAATTTTATGTCACCTTTTAACAACTGCATTGTAACTGACCTATTCCAAATCCTCCTAAAGCTAAGATTTTTATAATATGGCATAGAAAATGTAAGAAAGGTTTTATGTATCAATAAAGTTGTATTTTTATTTTTATTTTATAATCATGTAATCCTCTTACTACCTAATACAATGTTAAATTACTCTTATGTAAATAGTGATTTTGAACCTTAAAGTCTGCAAATTACGATATAATCCTTCAACTTCAGAAGCATTCGTCCATTACGAAATGCACGTAATAAAAATTATTTACATGCCAAAAATGACGCATTTAAAACGCAACCCTACATCACCTTGCATAAGTGCGAAAACGAATTGTAACACTTAACGCAACGATTGTTAAACATTTTGTTTGGAGTAGCAGAGCAGTGCGAATACTGATGTATGTACTCCTTTTATTTCATTATCTTTTCCTATTTTCCTTATCTAATCGCTCTTTTCTTCCTTGGTAATCTAGATAGAATCACTAAAAACAGCTACATAAAATAGCTTTAAAATTGGGTTCAAAGATTACAAAAAATTTCAGGCATCGAACATTGTGAATCATGTACGGGGCGTATAACTTAAATTGCTTAAAAAAGCAAACACAATTTAAATGCAATGTAACATTTAAAAGTTTTAAAATACAATTTATATACTTATTAATAAATTTTGAATATAATTTTTAACAAAAATTTAATTTAAATATACGACCTCAATTCGAGGTATGAGTAATGTGTTATATCATTTGTTTTATGACACTTTAAACTAGTTTTTATTAAGCAGTTACAAATTGTAGCAATCTCGAATGACTGGTACGCTTAGATTTTTTTTATGATGACACGGATTACTTGCAGTAAACAATAGTTGCTATCCATAGACGCCCTGAATACTACAGGAGGTACGAGTACAAGTCTTTTGGAAGGGATAATTTTAGGGTTTGGGAAAGGATGGGGGGTGGAAAGTCTCAGGCCTCCGGAAAACTCAGACGCGGTGTAAAAAACGCTATGGTTGTTTTACTCAATCGACTCATGTATGACATTGGGCGCTGTGATTGATGTGCTCCAAGTTAAGCGTGTGTGTGAGTCTGATCATGCGTGGTGATCAATGCTCAAACCTTCTCCGTGTCCGAAGATGCGTTTGAACAGCAGAGGGCTCTAGTAGTGGTGATGATGACGATGAAGTTTACCAACTAATCAATTGACGATGTCTTTATTCGCAAACACGATCGTTGTTAACTAAAAAAAACTAACCGTCCTAATCATAAGAGAAAAACAAAAACATGGTCCTTTGGTACGCAGCTATTAAAAAGACCTTATCCTATATATTTTATATTCGGCACCACCCTAGAGATTCTCATCATCTGACCCAGAGGTCGCACGTGAACGTGACGCCATGATTGATGCAATGTGGACAAACCTCAAGGCGCGCAAAGGCTCGTGGAACATTGCATTTGTAAAACACAGCGGTATTATGGCGTCAGGTGGTGTATTTGTTTAAAAGAAAATAAACCTTAAGGGTTTTATAATAAAGATTGTGCCTTTTAGATGATGAGCTCATGAGAGATGAAATCGGGGTAGCTAATGGAACCTTGACCTACCAACAAGAAAATATATCACTTAATTTAATGATGTAAGTTATTTTTAGTTGTTTAGCTAAAAATTTTATTATCAAGAATGTAAATGTTAATGTAAAGACATTGGTATTTGAATGCAATGAACTTGGCAAACAAAACTATTTTAAATATGTTTAAGGTTACCACTTCTCTGTCGATAAAGACAAAATAACCTTCTACAATCAAATGCCAAATATTTTGACGTTAACAATTATCTAATATTTACTCTTCCTAGTAAATATTGAGTGGCTTTGTGAAAGAAAATGTCAAGGTTTATAAAGACCAGACGCTTAGGGAAATTCGGTCCTTTATTCCGCAGTGAATAGCATCCATGCTTTCAATTGTTTATTTTTATTAATTCGATTAAAGGTAATGATGAGTTTCTCATTATATTACCTAGAATTTCCATATTTAAATATGTTTTCATTTTTTTTTTAAACTCTTTTCTTATATTTGTATAAAAAATAAAGCCGGAGAACCGTGCAAGTTGATTCTGTAGCGATCCAACGGAAGTAACTCCAGACAGTATAATCTATTTAGTGCCAAATTTTATTTTGAGTCGTCAAGCAACCTCTGTCTTACGCGAGT